CTGCCACCACACAGTGATGGTGGTGGGAGCCTGCCACCACATTGTGATGGTGGTGGAAGCCTGCCACCACACAGTGATGGTGGTGGGACCCTCCCACCACATAGTAATGGTGGTGGGAGCCTGCCACCACATTGTGATGGTGGAGGAAGCCTGCCACCACACAGTGATGGTGGTGGAATCCTGCCACCACACAGTGATGGTGGTGGAAACCTGCCACTACATAGTGATGGTGATGGGAGCCTGCCACCACACAGTGATGGTGGTGGGAGCCTGCCACCACATTGTGATGGTGGTGGAAGCCTGCCACCACACAGTGATGGTGGTGGAAGCCTGCCACCACACAGTGATGGTGGTGGAAGCCTGCCACCACACAGTGATGGTGGTGGGAGCCTGCCACCACACAGTGATGGTGGTGGAAGCCTGCCACCACATAGTGATGGTGGTGGAAGCCTGCCACCATATACAGTAATGGTGGTGGAAGCCTGCCACCACATTGTGATGGTGGTGGAAGCCTGCCACCACACAGTGATGGTGGTGGAAGCCTGCCACCACATAGTGATAGTGGTGGAAGCCTGCCACCACATTGTGATGGTGGTGGAAGCCTGCCACCACACAGTGATGGTGGTGGAAGCCTGCCACCACATAGTGATAGTGGTGGAAGCCTGCCACCATATACAGTAATGGTGGTGGAAGCCTGCCACTGCATAGTGATGGTGGTGGAAGCCTGCCACCACACAGTGATGGTGGTGGAAGCCTGCCACCACATTCTGTGATGTCTGTCTGTCTCTGTCTTCCTTTCTGTGTGTCTCTGTGTAAATCATTGTTTCTCTGCCTCAATCTCTCTGGTTTTCTCTGTCTCTCTGTGTGTCTGCGCGTCTCTCCCTCTCTGTGTATCTCTCATATAAATATATCATTGTCTATCATGTGAGCTATTTAATATATAATAGTTACCCCTTTTACTGTTTTACTGAGAGAGAAGAACGTGTATTTTGAAACCTAAGAACCAATAGGAGGATCGTCTGTTTTATGCGACAACGGGCAAATTATTAATAACACGATATTTCTGTTCATTTTCCAAGAGATCAGTGAATAACTGTGTTAATTACTATAAGAATTGTATTTTTCAAATGTTAGTTTCCAAATATTTAGTTGTGTATCGATGCGGTCAGTGGCTGAATGGTGGTGGGGGTCTGAATGTGAGCCTGACCCCGCTCTTCACTTTTAAATGATGGCGATGACGCCAGACCATGTTATACTGCACCTCTATTACCCACCCAGAGCCGCGTCTGACAGCTCTAGAGAGTCAGGAGTGTCAAAGACAGAGTCGGCTCCAGACAGCCTACACCCAGACGCCCACACCCAGACGCCCACACCCAGACGCCCACACCAAGACGCCCACACCAAGACGCCCACACCAAGACGCCTACACCCAGACGCCTTCACCCAGACGCCTTCACCCAGACGCCTACACTCTGACGCCCACACAAAGACACCCACACCCAGACGCCCACACCAAGACGCCTTCACCCAGACGCCTACACCCAGACGCCCACACCAAGACGCCTTCACCCAGACGCCTACACCCAGACGCCCACACCAAGACGCCTTCACCCAGACGCCTTCACCCAGACGCCCACACCAAGACGCCTTCACCCAGACGCCTACACCCTGACGCCCACACAAAGACACCCACACCCTGACACCCACACCCAGACGCCCACACCCACACCCAGACGCCCACACCCACACCCAGACCCCCACACACCCAGACGCCCACACCCACACCCAGACGCCCACACCCAGACGCCCACACCCACACCCTGACGCCCACACCCAGACGCCCACACCCACACCCAGACGCCCACACCCACACCCAGACGCCCACACCCACACCCAGACGCCCACACCCACACCCAGACGCCCACACCCACACCCAGACGCCCACACCCACACCCAGACGCCCACACCCACACCCAGACGCCCACACCCACACCCAGACGCCCACACCCACACCCAGACGCCCACACCCACACCCAGACGCCCACACCCACACCCAGACGCCCACACCTACACCCAGACGCCCACACCCAGACGCCCACACCTACACCCAGACGCCCACACCCAGACGCCCACACCTACACCCAGACGCCCACACCCAGACTCCATCATCCGCCCTCTACCGTGACGTCATTCTGGAGAGCCGCCGTGCACTCAGCCTGAGGCAGCGGGGGCCGCGGGCCGCGGGCTGACGGCAGCTGACGGAAGTAATGTGGTTTTTCCGCTGATAATTGGCGGGCAGTGACGTCAGCAGTGTGCAGGAGTGGTGGCAGGCTTCCACCACCATCACTGTGTGGTGGCAGGCTCCCACCACCATCACTGTGTGGTGGCAGGCTCCCACCACCATCACTGTGTGGTGGCAGGCTCCCATCACCATCACTGTGTGGTGGCAGGCTCCCACCACCATCACTGTGTGGTGGCAGGCTCCCACCACCATCACTGTGTGGTGGCAGGCTCCCACCACCATCACTGTGTGGTGGCAGGCTCCCATCACCATCACTGTGTAGTGGCAGGCTCCCACCACCATCACTGTGTGGTGGCAGGCTCCCACCACCATCACTGTGTGGTGGCAGGCTCCCACCACCATCACTGTGTGGTGGCAGGCTCCCACCACCATCACTGTGTGGTGGCAGGCTCCCACCACCATCACTGTGTGGTGGCAGGCTCCCACCACCATCACTGTGTGGTGGCAGGCTCCCATCACCATCACTGTGTGGTGGCAGGCTCCCACCACCATCACTGTGTGGTGGCAGGCGCCCATCACCATCACTGTGTGGTGGCAGGCTCCCACCACCATCACTGTGTGGTGGCAGGCTCCCACCACCATCACTGTGTGGTGGCAGGCTCCCACCACCATCACTGTGTGGTGGCAGGCCCCTTACCTTACCCTGTGTTCAGGTTTGGAACCAGCCCCATGGCTGCAAGAGTTAAATTGAAGCAAGTGTAAAGTAATGAATGTAGGTGTAGGGCGCACAAGGTCATATATAAAGATAGAATTTGGGAGATAAAATCCTTCAGGAGTCAGGAAGAGAGAAAGACCTGTGGGTTGATATCACGCCAGACCTCTTTCCTGAAGCCCACATCAACAGGATATCATCAGCGGCATATGCAAGGTTGGCTAACATAAGAACGGCATTTAGAAACTTGTGTAAGGAATCATTTAGAACCTTGTATACTACATATGTCAAGTTCATCAGACTAGTACCCGAGCTGAGGGGTATGAGTTATGAGGAGAGTCTACGGGAACTACACCTCTCGTCGCTGGAAGACAGAAGAGTTAGTGGGGACAGATCACCACCTACAAAATTTTCAGGGTAAAGGACAGGGAAGATATAGACATTATTTAAAACAGGTGGTTCTCGCTCAAGGAGACAGGTGGCAATTTAGTGCCCAAATGAGCCATAGAGACGTTATAGAATGAACTTTTCAGTGTCAGAGTAGTTAACAGGTGGAATGCATTAGGCAGTGATGTGGTGGAGGCTGACTCCATTCACAGTTTCAAGTGTAGATATGACAGAGCCCAGTAGGCTCAGGAACCAGTACACCTGTTGATTGACGGTTGAGAGGCGGGACTAAAGAGCCAGAGCTCAGCCCCCGCAAGCACAGTTAGGGGAGTTGAGAGTGGTCCAGGACGGACCGAAACGTCGTCGTCCCTTCACCTTCTAGTGTGTGGTCTGGTCAACACAGTTAGGGGAGTACCTACCGGGTAGTTATCCGTGGATGACTATGGTCGTTCCTTCACGGTGGGTGCTGGTGGACTCTCAGTAAGACCCCTGACCGAGTACGACCACCCGACCACCACCTACGTTAACCTACATAGGACCCAACACTGTTTTCTGGATATGATATGCTGACGAAATTCTGTTAATTACTCCCAGTTGCTTTGATCTTTAAACTTCAAAAGCAAGAGTCAGCTGTGTTGAACCTTGCATTCAGATTACCCTGGAGGGAGAGACACATAACCTGGACACAGGCCCCAGGACACATGGCCCAGGACACATCGCCCAGGACACAGGGCCCGGGGCCTGTCTTCGACACTCTCTTGATCAAACAAGACCTCCTCAGGTCAATGTTTACCGACAGACTTCAACACATATGACTCGCTAATAATCCTGCGATGACATCAAGATTATACGCCCCGCCTTCCGTTGTTACAACCTCGAGGCTGCCAGGTCCTGTAGAGGAGTCCCAGGACTGCCAGGTCCTGTAGAGGAGTCCCAGGACTGACAGGTCCTGTAGAGGAGTCCCAGGACTGCCAGGTCCTGTAGAGGAGTCCCAGGACTGGCAGGTCCTGTAGAGGAGTCCCAGGACTGGCAGGTCCTGTAGAGGAGTCCCAGGACTGCCAGGTCCTGTAGAGGAGTAGGTCCAGTAGAGGAGTCCCAGGACTGGCAGGTCCTGTAGAGGAGTCCCAGGACTGCCAGGTCCAGTAGAGGAGTCCCAGGACTGGCAGGTCCTGTAGAGGAGTCCCAGGACTGCCAGGTCCAGTAGAGGAGTCCCAGGACTGGCAGGTCCTGTAGAGGAGTCCCAGGACTGCCAGGTCCAGTAGAGGAGTCCCAGGACTGGCTGTAGAGGAGTCCCAGTCCAGGTCCAGTAGAGGAGTCCCAGGACTGGCAAGTCCTGTAGAGGAGTCCCAGGACTGCAGTAGAGCTGCTGAGATTCCCTGATTTACCTGAGGCCCACTCTAGGGTTCTTGAAGAGGACAGGACGCCGGCGGCTTGTCGAAGGTCCCCCCCACCACCCAATTGACTTGATCTTTTCTAGGTATATATTAGAACTTAATATTAGTATGTTGTGGCAGTGACCTATTAGAGTGGCGAGTGGTTGGGTCGTTAGTACAGAGTTCACCGAGTCCTTCGTCGTGACCCTCGTTACAGCGGGTTTATAAAGACCTTCGTTAAAAAAGGCTTTCGCTTAAGACGGTTTGGAGCAAATGAGCTGAGAAGTCTTGAAGGCTTTCGATGGAGAAGCCTTGGAGGGTATCATCAATGTTGGCTTGAAGGGTATCATCAATGTTGGCTTGGAGGGTATCATCAATGTTGGCTTGGAGGGTATCATCAATGTTGGCTTGGAGGGTATCGTCAATGGTGGCTTGGAGGGTATCATCAATGGTGGCTTGGAGGGTATCATCAATGTTGGCTTGGAGGGTATCGTCAATGGTGGCTTGGAGGGTATCATCAATGTTGGCTTGGAGGGTATCATCAATGTTGGCTTGGAGGGTATCATCAATGGTGGCTTGGAGGGTATCATCAATGTTGGCTTGGAGGGTATCATCAATGTTGGCTTGGAGGGTATCATCAATGTTGGCTTGGAGGGTATCATCAATGTTGGCTTGGAGGGTATCATCAATGTTGGCTTGGAGGGTATCATCAATGTTGGCTTGGAGGGTATCATCAATGTTGGCTTGGAGGGTATCATCAATGGTGGCTTGGAGGGTATCATCAATGTTGGCTTGGAGGGTATCATCAACGGTGGCTTGGAGGGTATCATCAATGGTGGTTTGGAGGGTATCATCAATGGTGGCTTGGAGGGTATCATCAATGGTGGCTTGGAGGGTATCATCAATGGTGGTTTGGAGGGTATCATCAATGATGGCTTGGAGGGCATCATCAACAGTTGCTTGGAGGGTACCATCAACGGTGGCTTGGAGGGTATCATCAACGATGACTTGGAGGGTATCATCAATGGTGGCTTGGAGGGCATCATCAATGTTGGCTTGGAGGTTATCATCAACGGTGGCTTGGAGGGTATCATCAACGGTGGCTTGGAGGGTATCATCAATGTTGGCTTGGAGGTTATCATCAACGGTGGCTTGGAGGGTATCATCAATGGTGGCTTGGAGGGTATCATCAACGATGACTTGGAGGGTATCATCAATGGTGGCTTGGAGGGCATCATCAATGTTGGCTTGGAGGTTATCATCAACGGTGGCTTGGAGGGTATCATCAACGATGACTTGGAGGGTATCATCAATGGTGGCTTGGAGGGCATCATCAATGTTGGCTTGGAGGTTATCATCAACGGTGGCTTGGAGGGCATCATCAATGTTGGCTTGGAGGGTACCATCAACGGTGGCTTGGAGGGTATCATCAACGATGACTTGGAGGGTATCATCAATGGTGGCTTGGAGGGCATCATCAATGTTGGCTTGGAGGTTATCATCAACGGTGGCTTGGAGGGTATCATCAATGTTGGCTTGGAGGTTATCATCAACGGTGGCTTGGAGGGTATCATCAACGGTGGTTTGGAGGGCATCATCAATGAGGGCTTGAAGGGTTAAGGGCTTAATTACAGAACACTTGAAAGACCTCATTCAAGAAAACTGACTGACCTCGTTAAGGGAAGCTGAGGAACCATCTTAAGAGACGCCCCTGAAGAACACAGCTGCCAGGCGCCACACTGAACCACCTCGTTAATGTGATGCGAGTTTGAGCAACATCTTCAGTTTAAGTGTAAGTATTTGTCCATCACTTGACTCCCTTGTCTTTATTAACGGGGCTCTACGAGGTAATCCGAACATGGTGTGTTTGTCTTTAGTGCCTTGTGTTCGGGCCCTTGTACTCACCTAATTGTTCTTGCGGGGGTTGAGCTCTGGCTCTTTGGTCCCGCCTCTCAACCGTCAATTAACAGGTGTACAGATTCCTGAGCCTATTGGGCTCTATCATATCTACACTTGAAACTGTGTATGGAGTCAGCCTCCACCACATCACTGCCTAATGCATTCCATTTGTCAACCACTCTGACACTTTAAAAGTTCTTTCTAATATCTCTGTGGCTCATTAGAAAGAACTTTTTAGAACGAACTTGTGTTCGTACCTTTGTGTTCGAACCATTCTGGCATTCGTAGAGGTATTGAAGCATGCTTGCTGCGATGTTTGGTACCCGGCTAGGGGTACCAAACACACACACATACATTAGGTGCTGGGTGGCCGAGTGGACAGCGCTCTCGACTTGTGGACCTAGGGACCGGGGTTCGATCCCCAAACAACCGGCGGAGACAGATGGGCAGAGTTTCCTTAACCCTGATGCTCCTGTTACCTAGCAGTAAATAGGTACCTGGGAGTTAGACAATTGCTACGGGCTGCTTCCTGTGTATGTGTGTGTGTGTGGAGGAGCAAAAATAGTTAGTAGTTAGTAACAGTTGACTGATTGACAGTTGAGAGGCGGGCCGAAAGAGCAGAGCTCAACTCCCGCAAGCACAACTAGGTGAATACAAATAGGTGAATACACACACACACACACACACACACACACACACACACACACACACACACACACACACACACACACACACACACACACACACACACACACACACTGCTATACAAACTTGAGAGGCAGGCAGGAGTAAGCGGAAAGGCCCTAGTATGGGTGAAGAACTACCTAACAGGAAGGAGCCAGAGGGTAATGGTAAGGGCGAGAAGTCGGACTGGCGAACAGTAACAAGTGGAGTACCTCAAGGATCGGTGCTGGGACCAATCCTCTTTCTAATTTACGTAAATGATATGTTTACATGAGTGGAATCATACATGTCAATGTTTGCGGATGACGCAAAATTAATGAGAAGAGTTGTGACAGACGAGGATTGTAGGATCCTCCAAGAGGACTTAAACAGGTTGCAGAGATGGTCAGGGAAATGGCTACTGGAGTTTAACATCAGTAAATGAAAAGTTATGGAAATGGGATTAGGTGATAGGAGACCAAAGGGACAGTACACAATGAAGGGGAACAGCCTACCTGTAACGATTCGAGAAAGAGACCTGGGAGTGGATGTGACACCTAATCTAACTCCTGAGGCACATATAAATAGGATAACGACAGCAGCGTACTCTACACTGGCGAAAATTAGAACTTCATTCAGAAACCTAAATGAGGAGGCTTTTAGGGCGCTTTACACTGCCTACGTGAGACCCGTCTTAGAGTATGCCGCGCCATCATGGAGCCCCCACCTGAAGAAACACATAAAGAAACTGGAGAAGGTTCAGAGGTTTGCGACGAGGCTTGTCCCAGAGTTACGAGGGATGGGATATGAAGAGCGTCTGCAGGAACTGAACCTTACGACACTAGAGAAAAGAAGGGAGAGAGGAGATATGATAGGAACATATAAAATACTCAGAGGAAATGACAAAATGGAAATAGATGTTCACACATAATAATAACAGAACGAGGGGACATGGGTGGAAACTGGAAACTCAGATGAGTCACAGAGATGTTAGGAAGTTTTCTTTTAGCGTGAGAGTAGTGGAAAAATGGAATGCACTTGGGGAACAGGTTGTGGAAGCAAATACTATTCATACTTTTAAAACTAGGTATGATAGGGAAATGGGACAGGAGTCATTGCTGTAAACAACCGATAGCTGGAAAGGCGGGATCCAAGAGTCAATGCTCGATCCTGCAAGCACAAATAGGTGAGTATAAATAGGTGAGTACACAATACCTGGCTAGGGGTATTGTGTGTGCCCTCTTTCAGGTATTGAAAGAGTGTGCAGGAGCACTCTGCTTGCCACTCTCCATAGTGTATAGTAGGTCACTGGAAACGGGAGACCTACCAGAAATATGGAAGACGGCTAATGTGGTCCCAATATACAAAAAGAGTGACAGACAAGAGGCACTGAACTACAGGCCAGTGTCCTTAACTTGTATACCATGCAAGGTGATGAAGAAGATTGTGAGAAAAAACCTAGTAACACATCTGGAGAGAAGAGACTTCGTGACAACCCATCAACATGGGTTCAGGGAGGGTAAATCTTGCCTTACAGGCTTAATAGAATTCTACGATCAGGTGACAAAGATTAAGCAAGAAAGAGAAGGATGGGCGGACTGCATCTTTTTGGACTGTCGGAAAGCCTTTGACACAGTACCCCATAAAAGGTTGATGCATAAGCTGGAGAAACAGGCAGGAGTAACTGATAGGGCGCTCCAGTGGATAAGGGAGTACCTAAGCAATAGGAAGCAGAGAATTACAGCTTTTTTTTCTACCACAAACGTGGCCACACATTTACAATGCTAACCAGCATATATACATTTTCTTCTGTCCTCCATGGACAGGGTTAGAGATGTGTTAAACATATAGTTCAAGGGTTTATTGAACAATCAACCACAGAAGGTGATTCGGGGCTTTTAAAATGCTAAGCTAACCTACATACGTAAATACATAGATACACAGATTTATGTATGCCCTACATAAAGTGTTCGATGTGTCTTTTACATAGTGTCATTAATGTGCATTTACAAAGGTGAAATGTAATTCTGATCAGCTTCCATATATACTTTATACACATACATATACACACACACACATATACGTACACATACATATATACATACATGTATACATACATATATATACACACACACACATGCATTCACATACATTTGTCTCTTTTACTCTGACATGGTGAGATAGCTGATAGAGAAACTAGTGTGTAATTAAGCACTTAATCACTGAAGGTGATGAAGGTGCTTTTACAAGCTCAGGTTATATAGTTACATCACATACATACATTATATAATTGATACATTACATGGTTAATCTTGGGTACAAGTCCAATATATCATCAAGTGTTCCAGTACTCATATAGTAACTACAGAGTTCAGCATACCTTAGCCCAGGAGGGCGAAAGTCAGTCAATATGGGACATTCTACAATATAATGTTCAAGAGAGTGCATGTTTTCTCTTTCACAAAGTTGACACATTGTGTACTCGACATTTGGGTTTTGAGAAAACTGTCAGATACGTCTATATCCCAGGCGTATTCTGGCCACTATAACATCACATTGCCGGGCACTTGTTCTATTAGTCGCATATGTGAATGTCTCCTCACGATATCTATCATAATATTTAATGCTACAACTTTCCGGTCTTTGTGAATTTGTTAGGTCTGTGAGAGTTACAGTGAAAGGTGAGACCTCAGATTGGCGTGAAGTCACCAGTGGAGTCCCACAGGGCTCTGTACTCGGACCTATCCTGTTTCTGATATACGTAAATGATCTCCCAGAGGGTATAGACTCATTCCTCTCAATGTTTGCTGACGACGCCAAAATTATGAGACGGATTAAGACAGAGCAGGACAGCTTGAGGCTTCAAGAAGACCTGGACAAGCTGCATGAATGGTCGAACAAATGGTTGTTAGAGTTTAACCCAAGCAAATGTAATGTAATGAAGATAGGGGTAGGAAGCAGGAGACCAGATACAAGGTATCATTTGGGAGATGAAATACTTCAAGTGTCAGAAAGAAGGAAAGACCTGGGGGTTGATATCAGGCCAGACCTGTCCCCTGAAGCTCATATCAAGAAGATAACATGAGCAGCATATGCCAGATTAGCTAACATAAGAACGGCCTTTAGAAACTTGTGTAAGGAATCTTTCAGAACATTATATACCACATATGTCAGACCAATCCTGGAGTATGTGGCTCCAGCATGGAGTCCATAGCTAGTCAAGCATAAGACAAAACTGGAAAAGGTTCAAAGGTATGCCACCAGACTAGTACCCGAGCTGAGAGGTATGAGCTACGAGGAGAGACTACGGGAATTAAATCTCACTTCGTTGGAAGACAGAAGAGTTAGGGGGAACATGATCACCACATTCAAGATTCTCAAGGGAATCGACAGGGTAGATAAAGACAGGCTATTTAACACAAGGGGCACACGCACTAGGGGACACAGGTGGAAACTGAGTGCCCAAATGAGCCACAGAGATATTAGAAAGCACTTTTTTAGTGCCAGAATGGTTGACAAATGGAATGCATTACGAAGTGATGTGGTGGAGGCTGACTCCATACACAGTTTCAAGTGTAGATATGATAGAGCCCAATAGGCTCAGGAACCTGTACACCTGTTGATTGACGGTTGAGAGGCGGGACCAAAGAGTCAGAGCTCAATCCCCGACTAGGTGAGTACAACTAGTGAGCACAACTAAGTGAGTACACACACACACACACACACACACACACACAGCCAACATGTCAAGGGACCCACAAGAATGAGAGGCAATGACGAACCAGCTAGACTCGACCTGATACTCATCTTGAATGAGTCAGAAATAAGAGAAGTCAAATATGAAGCCCCCATAGGAATGAGTGACCACAGTGTATTGACATTTGTGTATCTGGTGGAGGTAGGGATAACCTATCTAAGGATGGGACCGGAAGGGAAAAGACTAAATTACCGAAGAGGAAAATATGACGAGATGAGAAACTTCCTAATGGGAATACCATGGGAAACAGAACTCAGAGAGAAGACTGTACAGGACATGATGGATTATGTCACCCAAAAGTGCCGGGAAGCTGCAGACAGGTTTATCCCGGTCCAAAAGGAGAAAAACGAATAGCAACAGAAGAATCCATGGTTCAACCAGGAATGTAAGGTAGCGAAGCAACTGAGTAAATGAACATGGAGAAACTACAGGAATAACAGAACACCAGAGAGCAGGGAGAGATACCAGAGGGCCAGAAATGAGTACCTCAGAGTGAGGAGGGAAGCAGAGAGACAGTATGAAAATGACATGCCGAGTAAAGCCAAGACCCAACCAAAACTGCTCCACAGCCACATCAGGAGGAAAACAGCAGTGAAGGAACAAGTGATGAAACTGAGAAAAGGGGAGAACAGATACACAGAGAACGACAAGGAGGTTTGTGAAGAAATCAACAGGAGATTCCAGGAGGTCTTCACAATAGAACAAGGAGAAGCCCCTGTACTAAGAGAGGAGGCAAACCAAGCAACCTTGGAGAAATTTGACTTCACCAGTGATGAGGTCAAAACGAATCTGTTGGAGCAGAATGAGACAAAGGCTGTTGGGCCTGACAGAATCTCACCGTGGATACTAAACGAAGGCGCAGAGGCACTAAGTGTGCCACTCTCTATGGTGTATAACAGGTCACTGGAAACAGGAGACCTACCAGAAAGCTGGAGGACAGCTAATGTAGTCCTAATATACAAAAAGGGCGACAGGCAAGAGGCACTGAACTGCAGGCCAGGTTCCCTAACTTGTATACCATGCAAGGTGATGGAGAAGATCGCGAAGAAAAGGCTCGTAGAGCATCTGGAGGGAAATAGCTTTGTAACACACCGCTAGCATGAGTTCAGAGATGGTAAATCGTGCCTCACAGGTATAATAGAATTGACCAAACAACAAAAATTTTGGCAAGAAAGAGAAAAATAGGCAGACTGCATTTTCTTGGACTGTCAGAAAGCCTTTGACACAGTTACCCATAAAAAGCTGTTATAAAAGTTGAAACAACAGGCAGGAGTAAAAAGGAAGGTGCTCCAGTGGATAAGGGAGTATCTAAGCAACAGGAAACAGCGAGTAACTATGAGGGGGGGGACATCAGAGTGGCGAGATGTCACCAGCGGAGTCCCACAGGGCTCTATACTTGGACCCATCCTGGTTCTAATATATGTAAACGATTTTCCAGAGGGTATAGACTCATTCCTCTCATTGTTTGCTGATGATACAAAAATTATGAGAAGAATCAAGACAGATGATCAGATGATGATAGACAGAGACTACAGTACGACCTGGACAAACTGGTGGAATGGTCTAGAAGATGGCTACTAAAGTTCAATTCACGAAAGTGTAAAGTAATGAAATTAGGCGAATGGCATGTGAGAGACATTCTCGTAGTTCTTTTGCGGACTTTGCCTGTTCTTACCTGTTCCTGCCCTCGTGGGTTTGATCTGTCATCCTCCACCTAAGCCAAGGCTCAGGAAAATAAATTTAATTAATTAAGTTTAAAAGTTAATGAAGATGGGAAAAGTGAGGTGATTGTTAGAACAAGAGAATGACAATAGTTTGAGGAACACATGGTCATTAGGGCCGCCATGATCTTAAATGTTCCAACCTAGAGGTACAAGTATATATAATTCCTGGCATCCTTAAACAACAACTTATCAGATAAGATCCCCCTCATGTTATCCATCAACTAAGGATTATCAATCTACAAATATCACAACTTTTTTGTTTAAGCAATAAGTGCGTCTCACTGCCTCACACAGTAGCGTTCACAAAATGAAAATAAACGATACACTACTTAATAGAACATTTAATGAACATAATCGTTCATCATGTCACAGTGATGTTGTCTGAGGCTCGACTCAATACTCAAGTGTCCTGAAGCTGCTTCAACACACCAGCTGTATCATGTCACACATATTATTATGTATCCTGTATCATATGTGTCTCTCTCACAGAGGGAAATAAATCTTCTCTCTAAATATTGACAAACATCCGTTGTGTTGGTGAGCTCAGTGATCTCATCTGTTGTGTTGGTGAGCTCAGTGATCTCATATGTTGTGATGGTGAGCTCAGTGATCTCATCTGTTGTGTTGGTGAGCTCAGTGATCTCATATGTTGTGATGGTGAGCTCAGTGATCTCATCTGTTGTGTTGGTGAGCTCAGTGATCTCATATGTTGTGATGGTGAGCTCAGTGATCTCATATGTTGTGATGGTGAGCTCAGTGACCTCATCTGTTGTGATGGTGAGCTCAGTGATCTCATATGTTGTGTTGGTGAGCTCAGTGATCTCATATGTTGTGGTGGTGAGCTCAGTGATCTCATATGTTGTGGTGGTGAGCTCAGTGATCTCATATGTTGTGGTGGTGAGCTCAGTGATCTCACATGTTGTGGCGGTGAGCTCAGTGATCTCACCTGTTGTGCTGGTGAGCTCAGTGACCTCATCTGTTGTAGTGGTGAGCTCAGTGACCTCATCTGTTGTGTTGGTGAGCTCAGTGACCTCATCTGTTGTGTTGGTGAGCTCGGTGATCTCATCTGTTGTGCTGGTGAGCTCAGTGACCTCATCTGTTAAGGTGGCGAGCTCAGTGATCTCACATGTTGTGCTGGTGAGCTCAGTGTTCTCACCTGTTGTGCTGGTGAGCTCAGTGACCTCATCTGTTGTAGTGGTGAGCTCAGTCACCTCATCTGTTGTGTTGGTGAGCTCAGTGATCTCATATGTTGTGGTGGTGAGCTCAGTGACCTCATCTGTTGTGGTGGTCAGCTCAGTGATCTCATATGTTGTGTTGGTGAGCTCAGTGATCTCATATGTTGTGTTGGTGAGATCAGTGATCTCATATGTTGTGGTGGTGAGCTCAGTGACCTCATCTGTTGTGATGGTGAGCTCAGTGATCTCATATGTTGTGTTGGTGAGCTCAGTGATCTCATATGTTGTGTTGGTGAGCTCAATGATCTCATATGTTGTGGTGGTGAGCTCAGTGATCTCATATGTTGTGATGGTGAGCTCAGTGATCTCATATGTTGTGTTGGTGAGCTCAGTGATCTCATATGTTGTGTTGGTGAGCTCAGTGATCTCATATGTTGTGGTGGTGAGCTCAGTGACCTCATCTGTTGTGGTGGTGAGCTCAGTGACCTCATCTGTTGTGGTGGTGAGCTCAGTGATCTCACCTGTTGTGCTGGTGAGCTCAGTGTTCTCACCTGTTGTGCTGGTGAGCTAAGTGACCTCATCTGTTGTGCTGTTGAGCTCAGTGATCTCACCTGTTGTGGTGGTGCGCTTAGTGATCTCGTGTGTTGTGGTGGTGAGCTCAGTGATCTCGTGTGTTGTGGTGGTGAGCTCAGTGAACTCGTGTGTTGTGGTGGTGAGCTCAGTGAACTCGTGTGTTGTGGTGGTGAGCTCAGTGATCTCGTGTGTTGTGGTGGTGAGCTCAGTGATCTCGTGTGTTGTGGTGGTGAGCTCAGTGATCTCGTGTGTTGTGGTGGTGAGCTCAGTGATCTCGTGTGTTGTGGTGGTGAGCTCAGTGATCTCACCTGTTTTGGTGGTGCGCTCAGTGATCTCGTGTGTTGTGGTGGTGAGCTCAGTGATCTCGTGTGTTGTGGTGGTGAGCTCAGTGATCTCGTGTGTTGTAGTGGTGAGCTCAGTGATCTCGTGTGTTGTGGTGGTGAGCTCAGTGATCTCGTGTGTTGTGGTGGTGAGCTCAGTGAACTCGTGTGTTGTGGTGGTGAGCTCAGTGATCCCGTGTGTTGTGGTGGTGAGCTCAGTGATCTCGTGTGTTGTGGTGGTGAGCTCAGTGAACTCACAACATAACCATTTCCTGGACGAGAATTATTAAACACTGCAAATAATGAGCATAAATAAATTAGCTCACCAAACTGCACATTCATGTCTTGTATTCAACAGATGATTGTTGATGAGTGACTCACCCTGAGGTACAGAAGCTCATCAAGCCAGCGAGTATGAAAAGGTATTCAGCAAATGTCCCCTTGAGTTCCTCAAACACTGGAGTGGCTGCCTCTGGGAACGGAACTCAAGGACTTGGACAACTTTTCTACTTCAGTGATAGAGGATATCCAGATAGAAGAAGATATCTACAGAAGTGGCTAAGAAGTTATAAGAAGTTTCTCGGCTACAAGAAGCAGCCCAGACGAAGACGTTACGTCCCTCTGAGACCACACTCCCTACGACATGTCCCAACTGCGTCGCAAACCTACAACAATGAGGAAATTAACACATTATGGCGATGGATGAAGGGGCCATCGAACACGGAGTCCCTTCCGTTAGACACTCTCCCCCTGACCCCTGAATGCTTCCAAAGTTTTTTTTCTCACTACAAGACATGCTGGAGAGGACAATGTTCCCCAAGACCCCCCTTCCTCTGAGGACGTCAACATCGGGACGGTGATGGGGCAAAATGGGAATATAGGTCATTCTTACCTAACCTCACTTGACCTTAAACTAGCCAATTTTTAACAAGCCTAATTCATTCTAACCTAGCATAACCTAACCCATTCTAACCTAACCTATCCTTTAAACCGAAGCTGATCCTCTGCAGATTGTAACGTTCGTGGATAGAGAACCTTTAACGTTTATGGATATCCTAGCTCCTAGTGCCCATATCCTAGCCTATATTCTAGCATATTCTAGTCTCGATTCATGCAGGTAGGCATTCAGTCCCATAGCGTCCACAAGTGGTTGGGCACCATTCCTTTCCCTCGTCACATCCCAATTCCTTATCCTGAACCCCTTCCAAGTGCTATATAGTCCTAATGGCTTGACGCTTTCTCATGAAAATTCCCTTCCTCCCTCCCTCCTGGTGCCCATATCCTAGCCCCTGATGCCCATATCCTAATTCCTATTGCCCATATCTTAGCTCCTAGTGCCCATATCCTAGCTAATGTGTCCATATCCCACCACCTAGTGCCCATAGCCTAGCTCGTTGTGCCCATATCCCAGCTCCCAGTGCCCATACCCTAGCTCCTAATGCCCATATCTTAGCTCCTAGTGCCAATATCCTAGCTCCTAGTACCAATATCCTAGTTCCTAGTGCCCATATCCTAGCTAATGTGTCTATATCCCACCGCCTAGTGCCCATAGCCTAGCTCCTAGTGCTCATATCTTGGCTCCTAGTGTCAATATCCTAGCTCCTTGTGCCAACATCCCAGCTTCTTGTGCCAATATCCCAGCTCCATGTGCCAATATCCCAGCTACTTGTGCCCATATCCTAGCTAATGTGTCCATATCCCACCGCCTAGTACCCATAGCCTAGCTCCTTGTGCCCATGTCCCAGCTCCTAGTGCCCATATCTTAGCTCCTAGTGCCCATATCCTAGCTCCTAGTGCCCATGTCCCAGCTCCTAGTGCCCATATCCTAGCACCTAGTATCCATGTCCTAGCTCTTTGTGCCAATATCCTAGCTCCTTATGCAATTTTCCTAGCTCCTAGTTCCCATATCCTAGCTCCTAGTGCCCATATCCTAGCTCCTTGTTCCCACATCCTAGCTCCTTATACAAATATCCTAGCTTCTAGTGCCCATATCCTAGTTCCTTGTGCCCATATCCTAGCTCCTTGTGCCCATATCCTAGCTCCTTGTGCCCATATCCTAGCTCCTTATGCCCATATCCTAGCTCCTTATGCCCATATCCTAGTTCCTTGTGCCCATATCCTAGCTCCTTATGCCCATATCCTAGCTCCTTATACCCATATCCTAGTTCCTTGTGCCCATATCCTAGCTCCTTATACAAATATCCTAGCTTCTAGTGCCCATATCCTAGCTCCTTATGCAATTATCTTAGCTCCTAGATCCCATATCCTAGCTCCTTGTGCCCATATCCTAGCTCCTTATGCAATTATCCTAGCTCCTAGTTCCCATATCCTAGTTCCTTGTGCCCATATCCTAGCTCCTTGTGCCCATATCCTAGCTCCTTGTGCCCATATCCTAGCTCCTTGTGTCCATATCCTAGCTCTTAGTGCCCATATCCTAACTACTTGTGCCAATATCCTAGCTTCTAGTGCCCATATCCTAGCTCCTTGTGCCCATATCCTAGCTCCTTATGCAAATATCCTAACTCCAAGTGCCCATATCTTAGCTCCTTATGCAAATATCCTAGCTCCTAGTGCCCATATCCTAGCTCCTTGTTCCCACATCCTAGCTCCTTATACAAATATCCTAGCTTCTAGTGCCCATATCCTAGTTCCTTGTGCCCATATCCTAGCTCCTTGTGCCCATATCCTAGCTCCTTGTGCCCATATCCTAGCTCCTTATGCCCATATCCTAGCTCCTTATGCCCATATCCTAGTTCCTTGTGCCCATATCCTAGCTCCTTATGCCCATATCCTAGCTCCTTATACCCATATCCTAGTTCCTTGTGCCCATATCCTAGCTCCTTATACAAATAT